CTTTGGAAACATACACGTAGATCATAAGCACAGTAAAATTGAGTGTTGTATTTTAGTGTTTAGTGAAACAAGAGCAGACAGTGCAATCCATACAGGTTTCCCTGTGGACAGCGTTTAGCATCCTTGATGCCTGCAGGTAATACCAGTTTTTGGCATTCTGTAGGTGTTTGTAAATCTCAGGTTGTGTGGATGGGGCAGACTGTGGCTTATGGGTGTCACCAGTAAATCAATATTAGTGCTGATGCAGACATCCAAATAAAGGTGAACAACTTTGGCTAACCGCATTCTCAAAAGCAGCAGAGAATTTCTTGCTTTTTCCAGTTGATTTATATAAAAGATAAATTAAGTGGCGTTCTCACTCTGTGTGCTTATACAGTTTAGTAATGACAAGCCTTAGAGCTGGTACTTTTGGGTGATCTAAATAGGAGTTAAATTTTGGTCAAACATTAAAATATGATCGTGTTGAAGGTATAGCTCTGGGGTTTTGGTGAGTCACTGTCGTGAGTGGGAGGGTAATGCAGGCTCTTTCAGTCTGGATTTGTGTGTGTGTGTGTGTGTACGCTGCGTGCACACCTCCGATGGGTGCGTGTGTGGGGCAGGGAGGGAGAAGGGCAGAGGAGGAAAGATAAAGACCCTGTAATAAGTCCTTTGGAAAATCCCATTTTATCGGAAGGTGGATGGTGAATTTTTTTTGCCTGTATTTCGCGTGCATTACAGTGTGTTTATCTGAAATCGTCAAAGGTTAGAAGTATGTTTGTGTCCACAGCACATACCTGGTGGGTTTTGTAGTTGGTTGAGTTCTAAGTTACTGAACCACATGTGCTCTGGATACGGTGGTGGAATAAATTTCTCATACGTGTGGGACTGTGACCGTTAAAACAATCATTACTGAAACCATATACCTTATTTCCTGTAACTAATAGCAGGTCTCTACCTATGGAATATATTAACAATTATTCCTTTGGTTTTTGGATTGTTGCTCAACTATTTTGTTGGACAGATATTTAAACATGATCTGTAATTTATGTTGTCTGAATACGTCAATGAACCGAGCTAATTATGGCTTTCTGATGCGAGCTGTGCTGATGTTTGTGAAACCACACTTCTGTTTGTAAGACAGAGTGAATGTGTGTTCTTTAATAAATCGTGGAAAATGGTGAATTTTCTCTACCTAGGTTGGTTAACAAAAATACTTTAGTTGGTGTTCACCTGGAGTTTAAAAAGAAGCCGTGGTTTCTGTGGCTGGTTGAACAGTGAAGTCTTCCGTGCCGTTAAAGTAAATATTTGTTTATTACTGTGTATAGTCCTCAGCATTTCTTTTAAAGGAAAATTATTGGGTCAAAGAGCAGTGGCCCGTTTAGGGACTCCATCACTTGCCATTTTTCTGCAACGTGCTCACCATGTGGTAGAGCTGAAGCACATGACAAAAGTCCTGCGTGAGTGTCACTGTGAGATGCTGGCTTTGAGACAGCACCTCATTATACCAACCTAAATGTCTCGGTACTTCAGTATACCTCTGTATTAGCCATGTCGTTTTTGCCACTGTTACCACTTGGAAGGATTTTCTTATTTCAGATCGTTTCTTACTAATGTATGTCCTGAAGAATGTGCAGCTGCATACGGTGTAGGCAGGGTAACACGTTTTCAAAGCAAAGGGTGCTGCAGCCCCGCGGCTGGGGCTGAGCCGTTCGAGGAACACCCAGGATCGCTGGCTCCAGAGAGGAAGCACTGTAATGAGAAAGGGGAAGCAGTTCTGTTTTTCTAATATTTGTTGTTTTCTTTGAAATGGGGAAAAGAATACCTGGAGTGATTTATATTTAATTGAGGATTGCATTCCATCAGATACGGTGAATGTTCTCAGGCCATTTATCAGCTGTGTCTTTTCGAGACCTCTGAGGAGTATATGGTACATATTTACCTTAACTTGGCTAGGTCAAGGGAAATAAAGCAAAAATAATAGATGTTATTTTTGTATGCGAACAAAACTGGAAGTCATGTGGGTGAAATATGAGGTAAATGACTGTGCCCTACCTCCTCTGTGCCTTTTTAAATACAAGAAATTATTAGTTATATATAATATCATTTCCTTTGCATTATCAGTGTATCTTTTTAAAACAGAAGATTTATTGACTTTTTCATTGCTCCAGCTTAGTCAACCCGACATCACATATATTGTGCTGCCATTATTCTTTAGTAGGTTCATATTTAGGTACCGTCTTGTGGAGGGGAAAAAAAAAAAAAAGAAAGAAAAAAACCCCCAAGAACAAACCATGCCATATACTGCTTCTTATATAACACTTTTTCTAAATTGAATTTGATGTGTACTGCTGATAATGTATACAGATCATACGACACTAGAATCCTACAAATGCTAGTGAGGATTTTAGTGAGCAGTACCTAAATTTTTTGGGGGAGCGAGGGTTTAGTAAGAAAGCCTTTGAGCTTCAGATCGTCTCTGAAAAATGTGTCATAGCTGATTTTCGCCCGCGTGTGCTGCTGCCGTGGGGTCTAGGGGTGTTCTTGTGAAGAATTGCATAGCAAGAGCCATCTAACGCCCTCTCCCAAGATGCATCCGCAATTTCAACCCGGTTTCCCAGTGTAAATGTCCAAAAGGAGTTTATTGTATGGCGATATTTGTGTAATATTTGCATAATGTGTTTTTATTACTAGATCTAAAGGTAGGATAAATGCAGAATAACCTAAATGTCAGGATCTTTAAGCAAGAAGGAAACCCGAGAACTGAAAAAGTCTCTTACCGTCAGCATGTACAGTCATTCTCTGTCCCCATCAGGGATGTACAGTGAAAACTGTTGCAAAATAAAACCAAAGAGCACATTGTCGATTCAGCTAAACCTAGCGATAAAACTGGTTTCAGAACTAGTCTGGTGAAGTGCAGTTTGATCAGATATTTCATGAACTAATTACTTCATTACTGATAGTGCTAATGATTTGTAAATTATCTGCAACTCATTCTTCCTGAGTGACTGACTCGGTGGCATTTACCAACTTTCCACGTACCCCTTTTTTTTTTTAGGGGCTGAATTTCTAAAACTCTTCCCTCTAGTCCTTTGAATTACATTTCTGGCGACGTTGGATGACAGGCATAGCATGATTAATTACAAATTGTTCTTTAGGTGAATAGTGCAGATTCTAAAACACAGCTTGTGTTTTTATAGCAGTTATTACCCTGCAGGCTCCAAAAGGGCTTTGGAGTAGAGAGTATGATTTCAGTTACATCATTGTAAATTCAGAAAACGTCAGTGATCTCAAAAGTGTGATTTTTGAAATTAGGTCAGTGGAAAAGAGATCAGAATCTGCTTTGCTACCTGAAAAGAAACAAGCTCCAAAATGGAGTGAAGTCTCTGCTTCCAGAAGGCTTTCGTTTTTCTTTTGAGAGGAATGTATTTGTCCAAAAAAAATAATTTATTTGAAACAGCATGAGGGAGTGAATAATAGAGCAAATTATAACCTGAATCCAGGCTGGATTATGGCAAGAAAGTCAGAGCAGGGAATAATTTTTCTCTTGCTGATTAATCTGTAATAACCCAGGGGATCTACGTCGCCGTTTCAGCTTGCACCATGATGGGCCAGTGACTCAAAGCTATCTAGAGGGTTCTTATATTTTGTCTCCCAATTAAATTTATTCAGTGTTTGGATTTTTGTCGCTGGCTAGTTGATCTTTCGGTAGCTGTAGTGCACTTGTAAGGGGTTTGTTTGCTTGTTTGTTATGTACCCTTTGATTATAGAATACTTTTTTTTTTTTTTTTTTTAACCTGAACTTGAATTTAACTAAATTTCAAGGTTGAGACGATGATTGAGATTTTTCTGGAGAGTATGCAGTTGTCTGCTGAATTCTCGCTTCTTGTCACCAGAGGCTTTGAGAAGATAAGAATTACAGTCTGAAACCACTAGTAATTACAGGTCAGGAAATGGATGTATGGTCTTGCAATATACAGCATCAAACACCAAGCCTGAGCAAATAAATTTAACGGAGAGTCCTCCCTTGTTAGTGTATGTTGAGAAGGAATCCTTCAGAGCGGCAGTCATGGATGGTGAATACCTTTCAGGGTTTTGTTTTCAACTGTTCTATGCGATGGTTTTGCTCGAAGCGTCTGAAAAGCAGCTTTTCAGTACCCCAAGTCTGTGACTCATGAAAGAGATGAGCAATAGTCACAGGGCTTTCGTCTTTCCCTTCGCTTTGGCCAGCGCGTTTTGCATCCTGTTTGTGAGCAGTTCGGTGGCTTCTCATCTGAGAGCTTCCTTAAGCCTGTGATACTGTTCTCTTCCAGCCATTTTGGAGTACTGAAAAAAACCCACCCAAACCAACCCAACCCAACAAACCCCATAGTTTGAATCTCCTGTAGGGTCCGAGCGTGTTGCTTGGGTGGTGATCCCAGCTCCCAGTGATGCAGGAGAGAGTCCTGGGATGATGCTCAGGCTGCATCTCCCCAGGCTGCTCTCTGGCTTTAAGTCACTTACCCAGATTACCATTATTAGAGCTCTTGGGGCTGAAGTGTGCTTGAATTGTTCTTTAGTTTATCTACGGCCAGGAAAAGGGCGGGAACCTGTGTAAAAGTGAATGAACTGCTTCCTAACCTGTGGAAGAATTGTGTGTATTTGAGAGTGAGTGTGTGATGTAAAGCTGCTTTTAAAGATCTGATTGAAAACAAAACAATAAATTCAAGATACAGTATTAAGTCCTGCACATTTGGATTCATTTAAAAATTGCAAACGGTACCTTTCATTGGTTGAAACTAATAGGTGTGGTAATTTTGTCATCATAATTGCTAAGTAGCCTTTTTTGAATTAAACTCATTAATATAATATGAAGGATTAATTTCATGGGAAAAAATGAAGACGCTGTAAGGCCTCGCAATACACTTCTGCTTTTTCCAATATAATTTTCTTAAATTAAAAAAAAAAAATAAAGATTTATTTCTATGGTAAATCTTTCTCTATTGTCATTTGCAGAATCCAAAGGTTTCTGAAGTACTTGGAAAATGAGTGTTCTTCTCATTGAAGCCTTTTATGGTGGTTCCCACAAACAGCTGATGGATCTTCTCCAGGAAGAGCTACAAGAAGACAGTGTCCTCTGCACGCTCCCTGCCAAGAAGTGGCACTGGAAAGCTCGGACTGCTGCTCTTTATTTCATGCAAACTGTGCCAGCAAGTACTAAATACAGGTAACCCAGGAACTGAATCATTTCTAAGCTCAAATTAGAGAGGCCTTCAACCAGGTGTCTGGAGCTGAATCTTCAGTTATGTGCATGCAAGCATGTGTGTGCAAGCAGACGGGGATTTGCAGTGGGCGATGCAAGTTTTTCTTCTTGAGTTGACTTGTTGGGGTAGACTTGGGAAAGTCCTGCCGTGTTTTAGAGCATCCTAGACTGTTTTGTCTTGCATCCCTAGTCCTTGAATGTCCCTAGGAGTGCAAGTATATGGATATCCTTTTGTGTATACATGTGTATGTACATCTTCCTTTAAAATTATCAGGTGAATTCAGTAACAGTGGAAGGTTTAAACTGTGCTTCACATCAGGTTCAAAGATGGCACAGATGTGAACACTGCAAGCTTCCCCGCTTGCCATCTGATGTATCTATTAGCAAGTCTGATTTATCAGAGTATACTGCTCAGGCTGACCTGGAGGATTAAGGGAGCAGTTTTATCTGAATAATGGTCCAGTTCTGTAATGTGCCAGCAACTCGGGATGTCAATTATGCATTTGTGTAAGCAGCAAATTTCTATCAGCTAGAACGTGGAACTGATAAAAGCAGACTATTTAGGTCAACAGATAGCTATCACGTAGTGAGAATCAGTCACTCCAGAACCAAGCTGTCTTTATACCCAGCAATTTTGCTTGGCCTACCTGATGAGGTGAGATTGCGGTAAAATGATTTGTCTTGAGCAGTGACGTGGCACGGGGCGTGCAGCAGAGCATCGCAGAGTGGGCAGTCAAGGAGCACTTTGCCCCTTGATGTTTTAGCACAAGCAGCTGCTTTTCAGCCGTAGAATGAACTTCAGGGGGACTTTGAGCCCACCTAAACGGCGTGCGAACTCGTTACAGTTCAGCACTGGGTCTGGGTTTTGTTCCCAGGAGCCAGTAGACGTAGTTGGTTGGGGAAGGATTTTTCAAGAGTAGATCTTGTGCTGTAGAAGGCTGCATTTGAACAGTGTTACCCAACACGATGTCTAATCCGTTTTGGAATGCTTGCTCTATAAACGTACACCTTTTCTGTGCCTGCTGCTGGCTTGCATTTAAAATAAGCTACCATCCCAAGCCAAGTGTTATAATTAATTTTCCCCGGTTTGTCTTGTGCGAGGCATTTAGCATTGGTTTCCTATTGCTTTCCTGTTGCAACAATTTTGTTTTGGAGGAGTGTAGATGACAAACTGTTATGTAAATTTGTCTTGTAGCGCAACCACATCCTCCAACGCATGGCAATGTTATCTGTGTTCCTTCAAGGTCAGCAGCCCAAGCTGTCCAGCCCTAACTGTATTAAACTAATCAGACATCACTCATAGACATACACTTCATTAGTTTAACTTACAGTTACATTGACCTAAGATAACTTAACTCCAATTTGTCAAGTAACCCCCATCTTGGGGAGAGAGGGGGAGGGAACGATGACAAAAAAAAAAAAAAAAAAAAGCCAAAACCCCACAAAAAAACCCAACAACCCAAGGAAAAAAACCCTCAACCCAGCAGCTTGAAAACTCACTTGAAGTTAATAAACTTGCAATCTGTCATAGACTTATGTGCAAATATAACCTTTACTGACAGCAAATAAATCTGATCTAACCAATAGAGCATCTTAAAGAGAGGAAAGCTTTTTCTTTGCTGTTGCTGTTTGGGTTTGATCAGACGGAATCAAATAGTCAAAGTTGACAAAGATGCGGTGTTTAAAAAAGAGTGTGTACCTTATCCTTGCAGGCAGGATAAAATTTTAGGAACATGGGCTGATGTGACTGGTGAGAGGAAAACTGATAGAGGTACCTTCTACTTTACTTGCACATTTTTAATGTTTGTTTTGTAATTGAATGTTTCAGGTATTTTATTAAAGTGAAAGTATAAGTGCATCAGACTACAACCTAATGAGGCTGACTGCTCCTATTAGGAAAAAAACATTGATTAAAATTAACATTGATTCTTCTCTTTCTAGCTTGCTAGTAACCACTAAAGAGCTGCTTCCCAGGTAGCAGTCTAAGGCAAAATTCTCGTTGCAAACCGGCAGGAGTGTGTGTTTTAAATTACACATTTATATGTTCCAGCCTTCTTGTGAGGTCATGGGAAATACAAATTTGCATTATTTATGATATTGACATTATTTGTGGAATAAAGATTTTCTTTTACAAGTGATTTTCATGAATGTGACATTTCATAAATACTTTGTTTCTATTTGTGTGTTTAATAATACAGAAAGGTCAAATATTTCGGGTGCAAACACTGTTGGTAACGGAGCTGCTTTACTGAATTTTTCTTTTCAAACTGTGCTTGATTTATTTCAAGATGCTGCTATGTGTGAGAAATAATACTGAGGCTAATAAGTGTGATACTGCTGTACATCTATGCAGCAGCAGTATACGTATGTTCTAAAAGATCTCTACTTTTATACATACAAGATGGTTATGGGAAGGAAGAGGTTTGTTAGTTTTCAAGTGATGTTCGGTGAGTTAAAAAGTCTTTAAAAAAGTGCTTTTGGTGCAGAATCATAGATGTTAAATTTAGATCCTCTACAGTGACCAGAGAGTTTATGGGATGAACTTGCAAATGCTTTTATCAGAGAACAGACGAGTACTCCCTTGATCAAGAATTAAAGCTGAATTGGTAACGAGCAGCGCATCTCACGTTACTCTTGTGAACCGTGCGGCCGATACCTGCGTGTGCAGTAGGGTGATGTTCCCGTGCAAGAACGAGGAGGTCTACTCAGAATTGTCAGAGGGAGATGATGTCCTCACCCTTCAAGGGGAACACACGTAGCTGTTGTGGAAGGTATCAGACATTCGGCATTTTACCTGCAACACTGCGTGGATTTATATTAGTTCCCCGATGCAAGCGCTGCGCCGTGTTTCTCTAGAAAGATGTTGCTTTTCTGCTTTCATGGCTTCATTGTGCAGCGTGTCGTTAAACGAGCTCACGTCTTCATTCATCTCCTTAAAGGAGGACAGAAGCCGTGATGAATGGGGAAGATCAGGCACGCGGCGAGTCCCTCCAGCTTGGCAGGGCCGTAAGGGGAGGGTTTTGAAGGTGGCTTACTGGGCTAGTCAACTTGAAATGGTCTGATGTCCTGATGTACAGCAGCCACCAAACCGAGCGTTTTTAAGAGCTCTTTTAGTCGCTATACAGACACTCACATGATTTTTCCTTAATTGGAAAGAAGGTGTCTGTCTGGGCGTTGCGTAAGTACGAGGAGTTTCATCCTTGTGGTGGCAGCTCCCAAATCGCAGCGTGAGAAACGGGCAGAACAAGGGCAGAATTTCTGTCTGCTTTCTCTATAGACAAGGTTTTCAACAATTACAGAGTTTTGTTAGCAGTTGATGGAACATTATCATCTTCATTCTGTAAATTAGGAAGGTCCAGCAGGGAGAGGTGACCTCCTCAGGCTGCTGGCGGTCTGCAGAGCTGCTGCGTTGTCTGCTTTGTCTCCCGACTTGCTTCAGACAGCTCAAACTCTTTGATAAATGTAGGCGTCTGATCTTGTCTAAAGTTTCCATAGCACATAGTGACTATTCGGTAATTCTAGAAAGCACGGGTTTTTTTGGCCTTTTTTTTTTTTCTTCTTAATTCAAGGAAAGTTCTCAAATTTGAAAATACTCTTGCAGAATGTAATGAAGGAAAAAAAAAAAAAGGTTGCTTTTCTGTTTTCTGTAATTCTATTCTTGATTACCGTGCACAATCTCTTAAATTTGAAATAATAAAGCAGTTGATAGGCCACACTAGATGAAAGCATTTTGTATTTCAGGGACTGTCCTTTGCAGAAAGTAATCCAAATCCTAAAAAGTTGGTAGTGTAATGCTTAGATCTGTGAACGGAGAGACTAAATGCAGTGTAGCTTCCAGTTTGTTTTAATAGCACTGCTAGATTATTTTAAATATATATATAAAAATATTATGTGTAACATTCAGTATTGCCCCCCAGGTAGCTGTTCATATGAATAAAGATTTTATTTGTAACAGACTCTAGCCCTGAAATACCCCTAGGGTAAATGTTAGCATATATATATCCCTTGATATTTGACAACTATATTTTAAAGACAAACTCTGTGCTTTTTACATTTTACAAAAGAGAAAACAAATCATTGTTTTCAATTAATAGAGCTCTACAAAAAAAAAACCAACCTCGGGGGTGTGGTGTTCAGTATATTCCAGTGGTATATAATGTAGATGTGGGTTGTTTGTGGTTGTTTTTTTTTTTTTTCCAAATAACCCTTTAAGACTACTAGATTTAGGGTTGTTTCAAATCTGATGCTTTCATTCTGTTCTGTAAGGAGAAAATACATTATATGTGAATTCTTTACTAACTGATGGACTGGTGTCACCTAAATATCCCCTTGAAAACGGTGATCCTTTCAGTTTTTATTCCAGTAAGTGGTTCAGTCCCACTGAAAACACAATGCAGCTTGCATGTGTGAGCATTGGTTAAGCTAGAGGATTCACTGTTTTCTAGATATTTTCTTTGCAAAAAGATACCTGCACCTAGGGTGTGCTGGGGAAGATGGTTGAAAATGTGAATTGAAGCAAGGCAGGGCAAATTTCAGCCATTTCATTAAAGCTGAATATACAGGTGCCCATTTGTGCTGGGAACATTTCTGTCTTTTTACATCGTTATGTTAAAAACTGCAAGTGCAGCTTTGTATAATCTCCATAGGAAGTGGAATAATTTTCCCTGCATTAGAGGCCTTCCCAGCATTTGGCCCTAATAATGCTCAGGTAAGAAATAAATAAATTATATCTGTGACTAGTACATTAGTTCAATAAAAGATAACCATGTACCTGCAAATTAAAAAAGTTTACCTGATACTTTTTATTTTTTTTTGGGCATATTTTACGGTGTTTGCTTCTGTATATGGGTGAATAAAAAGTGAATCTCATTTATGGTATCGACTACTAAGAGTGTGTATTTTGGTCTTACTGCTTCACTTTGTTACCTTTGAAGATGGGATGTGGCTCACCTTCTTGGAATTGC